TTTCTTTAGTTAATTTCATTAATTTGCTTCTGTTAAATTTGTTTTTGTCATACAGACTTAACAGGCTAAACAAGCATCTTTAAAGGAGTTAAAAAGTAGCATTGGTATGGGCTGTGCTGCTAAATGCAAGACCAGCACTTCAAATCTGCTAGTCGCTCTGAGGGAGAAACATGAGGCTTTCTGCTCCCATTTACGGCCTTAGCAATCCTCTATAGAGTTGCTAGCTTCAGAACTGACCCAGTGGCACACAACCATTAACCAACACTCAAAGGTGTTAAAAAGTTTAAGGAGCTTGGATTATTCAATTATTCAGTTATTCTGTTGGTGTAACGCTGATGACATAGCTCTGAAATAGTACGTTACAAACTTAATCGTGTGCATTTTTAGTTCCATATTCCAACTCACCTGGATCTGTTCTTTATATAAATTCTTTTCTCCAGCTTGAAAACTTTCCTCCCTAAACATTGCTTTTCTGAATGAATGTTAGACATATTAATGTGGTTTGGAGGAATGGTTAGATGAGTGTGTTTAGTAAAGATAAAGTCACCCATAACATATTTTCTTGCAAGTAGAAAAATATTGTTACAATTGCCAAATCTGTTCCAACTGATTTAGAATTAGATACTGCCCAATCCTACATCATCCTCACAATCATTGCTATATTTGAGTCCATTGCTGCAGCCATGATGTCAATCCATCTCATTAAGGAAAATATTAGGAGTGCTTTCATTTTTAACCAAATAAAAAAAAAAATTAATAAAGGAAAAATTCAATTTTTTTCCCCCATATAACCATACATACAGAAGCATGGTGACTCCATAGGATAAACATTGGACTATGAACCACAAGGTCAGTGGTTTGAGTCCACCGTCCACAGCATGGAAGAAAGATGAGTCTTTATGCTTCCACAAAGATTCACAGCCTTGGAAACCCTGTTTAGGGTTGCTATAAGTTGGATCCAACTCAATGGCACTTAACAACATCCACCATATATATGCAAAGGGTGTTAATTTATTAAACACATTAAGTATAACTAATACAACTTTATGTAGTTGGTGAGAGTTTATTCATCAGCTATACATTTTATATACAATTATTTATTATATGCATACATTTTTCAATAAGAAATATTACAACAAACAAATAGTGACATTGTACAGCACTATGAAGCTTGATGTTTCATTACTGCTTAGCCCTAAGGGCAATTATTAAAATTTCATTAATCTACATGGCCAGTGTTAGGCTTGATTTCTAAACATTTGGCACACTACTAACGCCAAGTAGGAACTCAATTTGTTCTTGCTAAGAGACTGTTGTAAACCCCAGCCTTTGTATTTGATGCAGTCATTTACCAGAAACTGCAATCTGAAATCTTCTGAGGAAATTCCACATTAACATTTGAATTTAACATCTGTGTTGACTAGCACTGATTTTTCATATTTATTTTGTTATTCTGGAGTTTATTACTAAGATTCTTGGAAGTTTTCTCTGTACTTTGTAAGAATGAAAGTCACTTTGAAATTAGTCAGATCTATCTTGTGAGATTGGCTGGATGTGAAAAAAAATTAGGAATTGGGCTGCTATTTCCAATATATCATTATCATGAAGCTGGGAGACTTAATAATGCAACAACATTCTGAGCTTGCTAAAATATAAAAAGATGTTAGAATGAATTCTACAATAATCATGTTTGCTTTAATTTTTCTTCAATTATACATGATTTCAAAAGCATTTTGTCCAGATGCAAAATAGTAAAAATACAATGAATAATTAAAAATTTTTTTTCTTTTAATAAAATAATACTTAACATTTTCCAAGTCATTTTGTTCTTTTCAAAATTTTCTTAAAATATTTTGGATTGTTAGGGTGTTGATGGAAATTCAGAATAAACTACAATGTTTAAAGCATTTGCTTGATTTTGGAGCAAGTGTGTGCCTGCAAACAATGAAAAAGATTCACATTGAACTTTAATATCAAAGAGGGTAATCTGTGGATGTTAATTCTTTCAAACCATGGTAAACATGAAAACATTGGCACATTTTTATTTAATCTGACTCCTACCTGAAACTGATTCCCTTATTTATGACTCCTGCTGTCAAAATGCTGACAGAAGTGCTAAATTGTTATCTCTGTGCTCATTTATTTTATCATGATTGTTATTTTAACATTTGAACCTAAAAAGAGTTCTACATGGTAAGCATTGGTTACAGAGCCATGAGTATTGAATAAATAATCTTGATTTTCTAATACTATTTGAACCTCAGTTATTTCTGTCACCCTAGAAGTGAAGTTGCTTAGAATGTCAAACAACAACAAATCGACTCAAAATAGTTAATAAACTATTTTTTCTTACAAATGTCTCCAAAAATTATACTGAATTTCTCTAACATGTATGATGGTCAGAAGTCATGTTTTGCAAATTCATTTTGGTAGTGGTTAACTACATTAAGTTTGAGGGTCAAACTCCATATTTAATTATAAAGCTGAATGTGGTCTCATGTGTCAGGAACATTAATTAATGTAAGTCCCATAGTCATTAATAAATTTAAGAAGAAAATAGTACCTGGTTTTAAATGGACTTTTACTTGAAACTTCTATATTGCATGATAAGCATCTACATTTTTAGGGATGAACATTTAATAACATTGTTATATAGCAATAATTAAATATTAAATAATGCATCTACTTATCTAGTATAGCCCTAATGGTGCATTGATTAAAGTGCTCAGCTAATAAGCAGTAAGTTTGTGGGTTGAGCCCTCCAGCCATTCTGTAGGAGAAATATGTGGCAGTCAGCCACCATGATGGTTTACAGCCTTGGAAACTAACTCTAAGAGGCAATTCTACTTTGAATTGGGTTTGACTTAATGATGGTGTTTTTTTTTTCTTTTTCTTATTTAAAGCAAGCACACAAATGTCCTAGTCCTTGTTGAGCTACTTATGGCAACCCTGTAATGCCCATTTATTCTTTCAGCATTCAATTTTGAATTAACTCAAAGTTATTTATTGTTGCTAAGTGCAGTCAAGTTGGTTTTGACTTATAGCGACCCTATATAGGGTTTCTGAGGAGCAGCTGGTGGGTTTGAACTGCTAACCTCTGGTTAGCAGTCCAGTCCTTATCCTACAGAGCCGTAGAATGTTGAAATTAATACATTCATTAAAATAATTGTGTTTGTAAATTTCTGTGTATGTGCACATGTGTAGATGAAAGGATATTAATTGTTGTGTCAGAATAAATTTGGGTTATACACATACAGTGAGGTGTATAGACTTAATAAATAGTAAAAAAGAAAATAAAGGAAATTTCTGAGTTTTGTTTCCAAAAGAGGGTAAAAATTGGTCAATTAAAAGTCCTGGTAGTAGTAGGGTTAATTTGCTATCAAATCCTGTTCTAGAATATATATGTTCTAGGTATATATATAAGAATTGATTCATCTTATTATTCATAGAGGTAAAACAATCAAGTAAAGTTACAGAAGTAATTGTTGTAGATGACAGATTCAAATATGATTATTTTAAAGGAGAAGTTTCTACAAATATATGCAAATTCTTATAAAGTTTCCATTTTCTTGAGCAGAGTTGATAGTATTCCTAATTCAAGAAAAGATGATTTATAAGCACTGAGGTGTGAAAGATAAATGTCACATTATAGGTGTAATCTGTTTTTTATGGCATTCAGAAATGTGCCTCTGTAATAGTTCTTGTAGTAAAAGAAGCTTTGAGTTATTAGCTCTTCCCCCACCACCCCCCACCCCCTCTCAATTATCTAAGCAGATGAAAAGAAAATACACTCTGTGCAAAGGGGCGTTTTACACTTATCTTCCTCTGGTATTTGCATTTATCCAAACTATTGTCTAGCCTTATCCAACACGTGACTTAGTCTTTTTGAGATCTGGTAGCGTAGTGGTTACGAATCGGGCTGGGAACCACATGGTCAGCAGTTCGAAACTACCAGCTTCTCAGCTGGAGAAAGATGAGGCTTTCTGCTCCCGTAAAGATTTACAGCCTCGGAAACCCTGTTCAGGGTCGCTATGGGTCGGAACCGACTCGACGGCACTTAACAACAACAACAACATATGCATATTACTACATTTCAATCACATATCTATCCTATTGTTACAACTTCTTTGAAAAGAATTTGGATTTGGAGATGTTTTCTAAATTCTTCTCCTAGTCCTTGCTTCACTTTTAACCGGGGCAGGGGACAGCTAACCAGCTTTAAAGTTGATTAAGCCAAAGTTTACCCTAAACTGTTTCATTTTGGTTTCAGGAAGAAACATGTTCCTCTGCAGCTGAAAGATACTTGTCTACCTGCATCACTAGGAACCATTAGTTCTTGTCTAAAAATTGACAACTGTTTTCAGTGATAATGGGGCTATTTACTTCTTTATTAGAAGCATCTTTAGTGTTTCATAGTGCACCTATTGTGTTCAATATTTATGCAAAATAAAAGAAAGAATTACAGGATTTTTCCTTGTCCTTTTAAGATTCCAATTTTGATTATTTTTTATCTTGACATTTTAAAATATGCAGTGGTTCAATGATAAATGACTATTTTTGTTTCATTTGAAGTCACTTTCACTGAGAAAATATAAAACTGGTGACATGAATATCTGCTTAGTAATTTAACTAGATTTTCCTTTCTAGGTAAATTACATGGAAAGAATTTTTAAATCTTTATGAGTTTTCATTCTGCAAAGAATTTCCTTATTCAAAATTTATCATGTACCTTATTCAAAATTTACCATGTAATTTCTACTTTTTGATGTTGAACTTCCATTACTTTGGTGTGAAAATGAGTGCTTTAATTTGTTTCTGCCTTATAGTTGTAGATGATAAGTAGCATTTTCTATAGAATTTATTTCTATTCACTCACAATCTTCTTCAATGTTTTGAAAAACTATATGCATTAATGATAGAAATCCACATTGAAAATTATTAAAGAGAAAAAAATGGACATGTTATTGGTTGTGTGCAGTAATTTAAAGTTTTCAAGGAATAAATTTAAATCCTGTTTTCTTTTTGGTGGGGACAAAGTGTTTAAATACTGTTTTGGTTACCTTTATATGCCACAATCCTCAACTGAAGCATAGCTGCCTAAAGATTGCCTTCTGATTCCAGAGGGTATATAGGGCAGGACCGAAAAACAGAAGGGGGAACTGTGTGGGCACCATAACACTTTCACACTACTCTCCACAGCAGGAAATAGATTTAGGAATATTCCTCCACAGAGGTATAGGGTGAGCTTATGAAACTTGAAGTGGTGGAAGCCGATTTGGAGTTCCTGCGAGAGCAGCTGTTGAAGTTTGGGTCTTTTGTCATCACTCTCTTCTTTCGACTAGATTTAGAGTTGTCTGTGTCACTGGGATCGAACACCACTGTCATAGACTCCATCCTAGTTACGGTGTACAGGCTGCTTTGCCGAGTTGTGTGAAACCTGGTGGTCTTGAGCTGTAGCTCATCATAGCTAGAAACTTCAATAAAAGGACACCATCGAAATGCTCTCTTGAAGCCAGCTCGAAATCTGAGAAACAAGCCACAAGAAGAAGAAGACACATGTTCAAGTGGAAACTTCCTTCAACTACCATAGAAACTCCACTTAAGGCAATTGCACCAGCTGGAACTTTAAATTTTATCGTTATCAAACTCTTGGCATTTATGCTACAATATTGGAATTAGTCTTTTAGTTTTTCTTGCTTGAATTGAATCTTAATTTCCCATCAATGTGAAGCAAGTGCATGAACAGTAAAAACAAGATCCAAGTAGTCAATATGTCAAAGAAACAGTGCACATTTCTGCAGTGATTTTACATAAGAATAATTGATTTAGCTTTTCTGACTAAGGCACTTAAAACTGACATAGTTAAAAATAGCTTCTTTCAGAAACAATTATACATTTATAAATTAAGTCTCATTTAACATTAAAAATTAAATTGCTAATATTGATGGCTTACATTTCATAGTCATATATGAAAGTATAAAGTGCTTGACATGTAAACCATTAAATGAAGTTGACTAAAAACAAATGTGGGGTGCTTCATGAGACATGGTCTATGAAATTAATGACAAGGAGTAAGAATTGATTATTTAATAAACCTAGAAAAGTCCAAGTTAGAAAAGAGTTTAGGAAACATTCACTCAGCTGTTTAGATGAAATCACATACATACTTATACATAAACTATATAGGTGGTTTCATTAATAGAATTACCAGTCTTATAAAGTCAAATACTGCCCTTCCTGACTGTACAGTGCTTTTTATTTGTTTGTTTGCTTTTAAAGTGAGAATCACATTTTAACATTTTTCCAGTCTCAAAAATGGCTTTATACGCTTACTTTTTGTTTTAACTTGCCAGTTATATCTTGAAAATCAAATTTCTTCAGACTGATCCTCTATGTTTTATTAATCTCAGCTCATTGTGCAGGGATGAGGATTTGAATTCCTCTTGTTTTTATTATAATTTCCTACCACCCTTATAGTAACATCTTTTATCTTGGCAACTATTTACATAGCATCGTTTTTAATAGAATCCATTCAGTTCAATCATCATTTCTCCATCTTGCAGAAACTCACTACACAATTCTAGAAAGTGTCTTCATTTTTTTGAGGACTTCAGCAACTTTCTTATTTACCTTCTTCAATCATAAATAATTTTGTTTTCTTTCTATTTATTTATGTTTTTGTGGGTGTATATTATGGAAGAGTTTTCAAGGAACATTTGTTCTATATAAAACATTTCTCAAAAGAGCCTTTAAAAACATTATTTTGTGGATGCAATTATTATTAAGGTGAGAGGTTTCCTAGAGTAGTGGAGATACAAAATAAATCAAGTTCTGTGCTCCTTAAATTTAATTTTTTAAATTTCCCTTCCTTGATTATTTTCAAATTGTACTAAGATATCCAGACAATAGTAAATACTTTCACATGAAGACAGGAATAATAAGATATATGTGTTTATTAATTTTGTTTTTACCTTTTATTCAGACAGCAGTAGATGATGGGGTTGTACATGGTTGAGCTCATTGCCAGCCAAAAACTAGCCAGGTAGACCTGCTGGATGTATTTCCACCTATTTAGTTGTTGATAGATTGCAGTGAGGATGAAGTAAATATGATAGGGTAGCCAACAGATGGCAAATGTCACCACAACAATAATCATCATTTTTACAACCTAGAAAGAAAAATAAATAAAAAGAAGTCATTCTTGATAAATTCAAAAACTCATTAAATATAAGATATAATGGTGGTGGTTATGTGCCGTGGAGTCAGTTCCAACTCATAGCAATACTGTACAGGGTTTCTGAGGCTGTAAATCTTTGTGGGAGCAGAAAGCCTCATCTTTCTCCCGTGGAACAGCTGGTAGTTTCAAACTGCTGACCTTGAAGTTCACAGCTCGATTTGTAACCACTATGCTACCAAAGCTCCTTAAAAGATATAACAGCATATAAAATATATTTTTTCAACCAGAATAGCTAACTATACAGCATGCCAAATGATTAGTCAATATATTCAAAATTAGTGAACTGGCTATGGTAACTTTCAAAAAAGTATACTTGTTTCACCATTTAATCTCTATCCAACCTTGGTGAAAGGATGATATCTTCCCAATCATAAGCAAATATATTTGTACCAGGCCTAAAGAAAAGCAGTGTTTACAAAAAATCCTAAGAACTTGGCAAAGAGAAAGGCAGGAGTTAGGCTTGGGCTTTGCAAGTAAAATTTTCTAAAGGTAACATAAAAATGGCTGCAACCATACATTGGCAGAGAACTTTCAGAGGTTCAAAATGGATTAACAAAATGACATGGAACAAGGGACATCATTGTTGACGTCAAGTGAATCTTAGCTGAAAGAAGAGAATACCAGAAAGATGTTTACCTGTGATTTATTGACTACGTAAAGACTTTTGATTGTGTGGAGCATGGCAAGCTATGGACAACATTGCAAAAAATAAGTATTTCGGAACACTTAATTGCACTCACGAGGAACCTGTACATTGAACAAGAGGCAGATGTTTGAACAGAACAAGGGAACACAGAATGGTTTAAAATTAGGAAAGGTCTGCAACAGGGTTGCATTCTTTCACCATACTTATTTAATCTCTATGCTGAGCAAATAATCCAAGAAGCTGTATTATACGAAGATCAATGTGGCATCAGAATTGGAGGAAGACTCATTAACAACCTGAGATATGCAGATGATACAAATTTGCTTGCTGAAAGCAGAGAGGACTTTAATACTTACTGATGAAGATCAAAAACCACAGCCATTGATATGGGTTGTACCTCACCACTGGACCAATAAATATCATCCATATAAATGGAGAAAAAATTGAAGTTGTCAAAGACTTCATTTTGCTCAGATCAACCATCAATACTCATGGGAGCAGCAGTCAAGAAATCAAATGACAATGTATTACATTAGGCAAATCTACTGCCCAAGACCTCTTCAAAGTGCTTAAAAGCAAAGAGATCAGTTTGAGGACTAAGGTGCTCCTGATTTAAGCCATGGTATTTCTAATAACTTCATATGCATGTGAAAGTTGGATAGTGAATAAGGAAGGCCATGGAAGAATTGATGCATTTGAGATATGGCATTGGAGGAGAATACTGATAGTATCATGGACTGCCAAAAGAACAAACAGATAAGTGTTGGAAGAAGTACAGCTAGAGTGCTTCTTGGAAGTCAGGATGGCCAGACGTTGTCTCTCATACATCAGACATATTATCAGGGGGACTAGTCCCTAGAGAATAATATCATGTTTGGTAAAGTGGAGGACCAGCCAAAAAGGGGAAGACTCCCAATAGGATGAATTGGCATAGTGGTAGTAGCAAAGGGTAGGATTGGGAAGTTGGTTCAGGATCAGGCAGTGTTTTGACTTGATAGCACCAAACTGAAATTCCAGTTTAGGCTGAGCCACCATGAACTACACAATTGGGTGGACATCATACCTAGGGAAACTAACTGTTGAGGTACTATAGAAGTATATTTGGTAAGGGCTGGTCTGTTCCCTCAGTATTTATAGCCTGACTATATAATGTAAGACTATTAAAAATTCTTTATCCTAATACCATGCTTATAAGCAACTGTCTTAATACTAATTTCTCCTTAAATCTGCTTATTGGTAAATGTTTCTCTGGATAGAGATTATGTATATTAACATTAGTCTGAAGAAAAATCACTAACTTAAAATTTTTAAGTAAGCAATTGGATTATACAACTGTTTTACATATCAATTCTTGCTTTGGTAAGCATGAATCATTCCTCTGACTCCGCACTTTTGAACCATAAAATGCAGGGAAGCCCCAGTCAAAGTAGAATGTCAGTCTTTTTGTTTCCTTCACAAGGTCTTACATCTTTAAAGAAGCAGGGAGAATGTCTTAATTATCTCAGTATGCCAAGTGTCTACCACATCCCTGATAAGTAAATGGATAATGAATGAATGAATGATGAATGGCAATGTGTAACTTATGACAGAAAGTTGAATATGAGGACAATGTGCAATTTATAACAGGAGATTAAATAAGAGGATGCTTTGTGTGTCTGTAACTGAAATAAAATCTGTTATATTGCCTGTGTCTATAAGATAGAGTCAAAAGTTGCTGAAAACTGAGTAGCTCGACTTTGTTTTAAAGAAAGGAACTAAAATACTATTCTGGACTTCATTTAATATTCCTCATCTGTTTGCTAAGTCTATTCAGTACTCTAAGGAGAATTTGAAAATAGAAAAAGTTTGAAATAATATATGTTGTACAATATCATTTTGATAGTTACCTGCAGTCAGATTAGAGCACATGTCCGAGAAAGTCCTGACATAAATGACTCATGAATGAGTCATCTTAAAATTATGAAAAGACATGAGTTATGTACTGAACTTGTCATTTGACCATCAGTTGGAGATTCAGATGAAAGTTGGCAAGATTAAGAGTCATGAGAGAGACATGATTTTAGAAACAGACAAAGCATGAAATGTGGAAGGCAAAGCTTCCCTAAGGGTCTAATCATTGTACCATCTAGGTGACTAGTGTTGAACGTTTGTAAATTTGAAATTCCAGGTTAATAGCTCACAAATGTCATCTTTGGCCAGCCCATGAAAATTTTGTGGTTTTCTCAGTGTCCTTCTAAGTGTATTATTTTTATAAGTACTATATTCAGATTTCTACATTTGTCTCTTACATTTCCTATGTATGTGGACTGCAAATAAGAATCATATATCATTATAATTTAATTTATGGAATATATCACATCATATCTAATAACATAAATTATCTTTTGATTATACATTAAGAAACCAAGGCAAGGACCAAAACATTTCAACACTGTGATTTATGAAACCAAATAATGATCTTCATTACACAAACTCCTGATCTTTTTTGTTTTTGCTTTCAGTTAATAATATTTAATGGATGTCTGTTGGGTCTACAAAACAGTTTGAGGGGTGGTATAATAAATAGTCAATTCCTAACTCTGAAGTAACAATATAAAAAAAAAAAAGAAAATATGAACATTTTATAAGCATTTATATAAATGTAGTGAGTATTGTTGTTGTCATTAAGTGCCTTCGAGTCAATTCCAACTCATAGCAACTCTGCAGGGTTTCTGAGGAATGGCTGGTAAATTTGAACCACCGATCTTCTGGTTCAAACCAACCTTTTGGTTCAGTTCATTACCCTGTAATGCCACACCAACAAGTGTAAATAAAATAGGAAATAGTTTTTCATGAAAATATATTAGCTTATTGTAGAGTGTGGTAGCACTGTAGGATAAGCACAAGGTCGATAGCTCAAGCCTTTCATCTGCTGCATGGGAGAAATATGTCTTTTGCTCGTGCAAAGATTTAATGTCTCAGAAACCCTATACAGTGTCACTATGAGTCAGAACCAACTTAAAGGCACTGAACAACAACAACAAGTTTAAATTATTGTGTTATTCAGCAACTGTTGCTGACTAAAGGGTTATGAGATAATTAAGTGAATGCAATGGGTTCTAAAGACATTTTATTACCATTCCATGAACACAGTCGGCAGCTCCTGCCCTACATTATTCAACCTGGCTATCTTCTTCTATCTAGAAGTCTCTTTTCTCCAATGATTTAAACTTAGGAACACCCTCATTTCCTACAATTGTTTGCACAATTATCACCTTTCTTTTGAATCCTGTTCTGACCAGCCGAATAAAATTTACAAAACTGTAAAATCTGTGAGTTCTCTTCAAACATCTTAGTTTGCAATTTATTTTCTGTTGATTTGTTATGTT